ATATTAACTTATTCTGGTTCTTTGAAAAAGAACACGCAACGAAAACATTCGCTGCACTAGTCTTATTTATTTCCGAACTGAACAGCCGTAATTCCCAAGGACTACATTCTTTGTTCCCAAATAAGCATATATTACCCAAAACTGGTAACTCTATGCAGTAGTCGGGCAGTTTGTTTTCTCCGGTAGCCAAATCCATAACTTATATGGGTATTTTGACATTGCTTGCCAACTGACTTTAAATACAATTCTTATTAGTATTATGCATACCTCTGGTCTACCGCAGACGCCCATTCCCCCGAAAACATTCGCTTCACCAGTACCAACCAGTTCTGTTCCGGAACGCTGTTATGTGGTGGGCTGTAGTTTTTTCTCGCCTTGATAGCCATAATTACGCTAAAGCACAAGTAAATATATTAAGTAACTCGGAATTTTTTAAAGCTGACTCGATTCATTCTGTTTATTAATTCTAGTAATGTCTGTAAACTGGCATTAAATAGTACAGTTATTTTTTATGACACAAGTCTATTTGCGCCATAGATTTGGGATTAAAAATGTCTAATGATCGGGTTGCGAGAAAGAACCCATTCCGTTGTTCTTCGGAGATCGATCAAAAGCCTCACAGGCAGTCTTACAGTGGCTACTAATTTATACAGAGAAAGAAAGGAGGGACTGGGTTGGACATTTCTGACTCCGTAGCCGTCTTTGGCAGGGTTTGTCTGATCTCAATTTTGGGAGTACCTGAGTTTCGATCCCGGCCCAGGACTCATATAAAAAAGCCGGTCCTGCAAACGGTTTGGTTAAGGCAGGGGTAACCTATATCGTAGCGAGATGCAGAGAATGCGGATAAACGTAGACAGAACTATGGTATTTTACCAACAAAAACGGAGATCACAAGCCGCGAAGCTTTTCTGCCTTTTTGGGCGGCATCAGTCGGTGGTAGGTCAACTCCAGCGTAGCAGCGGAAATTGCCGCCACGCTCGAGTTTCGAACTCGTGTCTCTCCGGCCAGAGGCGAACGCTCTAACCGTTGAACCACGGGTCCGCCGTGTTGTCGGTTTTTGATCGGGACTGTTTCAGCCAATCGCAACACTGACTACTACATGTGACTAGAAACATATGCGTCGCAGATGGTCACAAGAGGTGGCTCATGGGCATTTTACTAAATCGAACATTATAACTGTCTCTTGTTTGCTTCGAGGAGCTGGCGGACTGGTTTTCGCCCATATCTGATCGAAAGGGTCTTTGTCATAGCGAATATTTTCAATGTTACTCAATTAGTAAAAATGTTTACAATTTGAACGTAAATCAACCTTACCTAAGACTGGGGCAAATACCCACGTTATTAAATAATCTGGACAACATTTGTGCATTCATCCCCGAAGGAGGGGCCTAATTTGAAAACAATTTTGCCAAAACCTTCGCAGCCCAATGAAAACCTGATTATGTGGTTTGTGTAAATCAGATGAGATAAGTGGTGAATACGCAGAGTATTTTAAGAAAAAAACACGACTTTTCTCCAGCTTTAAAAATTCTGGTGTGCGAATCCGTGTTATTCCATGTCCCAAAATGCGGCGATGCTACCTACGCCGGCTATATCCAGGCAAGCGGTCTCCTCAATTGTTTTAGCAAACAGTCAGGCAATTTTGTGCAGTAGTGCGCAATTAAAAAATGAAATGAGATCAACAGTAACCATTGCGATAACAACTTTGTCCCTCTGCGGTGCACTTTTATTCGTCAAACGGAGATTGCTCTTTCCAATGAAATGAGATAATATATCTCGTGAAATGCGTATCGTAGATTTGTTATCTTATAAAATGCATATGAAACTTCCAAAATGGAGTTTACATTAAAAAAATAACTGACGTAAGGCTCTAAAAGTTATTATCGTGTGGCATAATTCCAGGATATTTTAGTCACGTCAAGATGCTGGCTTTAAAAAAAGAATGTTTTCGACCCCATCTGAATATAGAGTATGTTAAAATAACCTTCTGAGTAGCATGATTTGTTTCTCACTGATCTTCTATGTCCTTATAAAATTAAGTACATATTGGTAGAGGAAATATCTAGGCCTAGCCTTCGGGAAAAAAAGAACAATAACAACTATTAACTTAATAATTAAGTCAGCCTAGTAGTCATTCTGGTGGATTCTAGATGA